GGGATACCAAATTGCAGGGGCACCACGACGTTTGTGCCGTGGCCTCCACGAAACCCTGCGTCGGCCCATGCGGTGAGGGAGCACCAAATCCTTCATTTCGAGGCAAAATAGCCTTTATTTTCAAGAAGCACCCAATTCCAGAGAGTACCGGAAAGGATTATAACCCTTTATTCTGAAAGAGCCATTAGTTCCAGGGGCATAACTATGTCGAGCTTTCCGCCCTGGTAAAATCCTAGATGGGACGTTTAGGCAAGGAGGTACAAAAAACCGTTCTTGCAGGGCGACATCGTCTTGATAGTCAAGGGGTACTAAATTAAAGCGGGCCATTTGCAAAGCTTAAAACCATAGCTTTAAAAGGTCACCAAAGTCCAGCGCCATTACAATCGGTGTGCCTTTCACTTTGGAAAAATTCTGAATCGCACCGTTCAGGGAAGGGGCACCCTGTGTAGAGAAACAGGCAATACAGTGGCACCACAATTGTCATGCCTTGCACCGCTGAAATCCCGGTCCGGCGCCTCCGGTGAAAAGGCAGCAATGACCTTGATTGCAGGGCATCATACCTTTATTTTATGAGCCCCTATTTTAAACTGGAACGCTACGATCAGCTCAAACATTCATTTTAAGGCGAGGCAAGATTCCAGGGGCACTTTGAATGGCCCCTAAAGCTTTATTTTCACGGGGACCCGAATTAAGCACAACTCCCCCCGTCCCCCTACCTCCGTCTTAGGCTCCGAGGGTCTCATGGGTTCCGAAGGTCCTTTTTTGGTCCCTTGGGGCCGAAGATCAAGAGCCTGATTAAAGGGTCCGAAGGGCAGGCGAGAGGCCGCATGAAGGGATCACAGCCCGAAGGCCAGACCCTAAAATATAAGAGTAGCTCTAGCACTGATCGGATACCCGCGTGACTGTGTCTCTATTTGAAGCAATTGACTGAGAACAGCCATATCGAACAGCCCGTTCCGTGCTTTTCTGGGGCCCTGGGGTTATTTTCCGACCACAGACAAGGCCAAGATATCTAAATGCCAATTGGAGGGCATCCTACATTAGTCGGGACACCTGAAACAATGAAGGACACACACTGCTGGTCAGTGACCACATCTCCTAGCAGGAGGCCATGTGTCGGCAATGAGCCCCAGATCGGCCAGGAGCACATTTGCTGAATAGGGGCGATGATGGGACCCCCGCATGTGGAAGGGCCTATTGTGCTGGTCTGGATCCTCCTGACAATGAACGGATTCATGAGAAATAGCAAAAGGGGTTCTCATGTACAATGAGACTGTGGAGAGGTCTTTGCCAGCTAGGTACACCAGAACCGGACAAGGGATCCTCTGCACCATTTCAACCAGTGACCGATAAGGTGAATTAGTGTCCCGCTACCAATGATTGGACTTCCTCTGCCAGTAGTCTGTATTAGCGAGGGCCCCTGCGCCGATCCGTTGCTGGATGTCTCAGTTAGAGGGCCAGTCGCATGGAGAAGGGGACCGGTTGTGATGCATCCTTCTGAGGGTCTCCGCACGGTCCTGGGGGCTATCAATAGACTAAGAGCCGCTGGGAGCTCCAGATGGGACGTAATGCTCTTCAGCTACTGACCGGAACGTTTTTCCGATGCAATTTAGTTGGCTGACCAGTTGATTCTCTGAACGGATTTAGCAGTTGCAGCATTACGAGCAAGAGAGATTACGCCATTGCGCCTTCCCATTGCGCCTTCCCGTAACTCGTCCCGACTACCAATCTAAACATTGCACTGGTGAAACGTCCGGCAAGGGGACACCTTTCACACGCATACCCATTGACCGCATAAAGCGTTGCAATGTACAGATTTCGATACGTGTTCATTTCCAGCCGTCTGTGGACCGCTGCCAGGTGCTGCTGCAAGGTTCCGTAAACTGCAAAGGTATAGCTGCAACATTTGTGTTCCGACGTCTCACAGAGCACCTCACGGAGGGGGCACCAAGGAATCACGTACAGCCCGACCGCAATGCTCTTCTCGCGCGCCGAGCGCTTACACAAAACACTGCAATTCTGTCATCTACACACAAAACAATGAAACTCAACATTCTGGATGCATTTCTCATCCATGACCACAAACGACTTCTAAGCAAAAAAGAAATGAATCCAACTTCTGAATTGTCTCTTTGGAGCAGCATCACAAATAACTCACTTGGACAAGGAACAAGACACTGATGAATGGCGCGGGTATTGTGTAATTGGCATGTATTGTGATTTGCTGTGTTCATTGTGTTATTCACAGTTTGTGGTGTTAATAATATTTTCTGCACGGCTAAAGAATTGTTTGTTGTTGCCAAGTCAAAACGGCAGTGAGTGCTGTTCAGTGAAAAGTTTATTGTTGGTTTGCATGCTTGTGTTTTATGCTCTGATTTAAGGTGTTAAGGGTGCCGAAATGAAATGAAGAGCCAGATAAATAGAAGAGTCAGTCAGCAGTCATGCACTGTGCAAGATCTGCGAACTTCGTGTGTCTGTCGTCATAAAAACACACACACACACACATATATATATATACATATATATATATATATATATACATCATTATTAAACGCTTTTTGCGATTCGGTCAAAAGCACCGGCCAGAACTAGCACGACACCACATCGGAGTGATCGGAAGCAGTAAACTTCACGGTAACTGAATCTCCACACATGTGCACTGCGAAAATGCTAGAAAACTGGAGAGGGCCTGCTACTCTGTTAGCTCCCTAGGGTTCAGGATTATATCCACCAAAATCCTCGCATTCCGGTAAACTGAGTTTTAATACTATTATGCATGCCGTTTGTATACGGGGGCCTGGCTTACTGCGCACAGCCCTAGAAAACTAGGTGTGCTTCGTATGCAAATGCATGGAGCTTGTTCACTTTCGCCGGAACATGGTGGATCCTGTCATTTTAATGCTAAATATTTCGAAGAAAGCATGGCAACATACACTTCAATTAGCTCCTAAATACCATCAAAACCAGGCGAAGCTTGAATCCTGGCTTAAATGCGGTTAGCGGGGTAGTCGGTGGGATCAGCAGATGGCTGAGGACTAATACAGAGTTTTTGCTTTGTCTGTTGCAAGAGAATACAGAATATACCATCTTTCAAAATTTATTAAAGCGTAACAATAAAACGCGGAAATAAAGTGCACGACGTCGTCGGCGTGCAAAATTATGCTCGACAATGACAAGAACGAATTCATCGGCGTAATCGGCATAGCCGTAAATTCAGCCATCGGTCGGTAAGAAATAAAGCCCCAATAAAAATGATTAAGATTTATGTCCCCGTCAACGGCGTGGGCTCTCCTATAATATGGAAAGACCCGATACTAATAAGGACGACACTCGAGCAATCAAAACCGCCGTGGCGGACCAACAAAGAGGCTCCAGTGAATAGTGAAGGGTCCTCATAACAAATGAGAAGTACCTTACACCAATATGGTGGGACACCTGAACGATCGGGAACACCCCTGCGGGTTAACATATAGGGTCCAGCCGGAGTACAGGATCCCTCGTGCAAAGGGACGACAGGGACGACAAAGGGACGAAAACCGAAGATCAGTGTACATGAATTAACGCCCCTGTGTGGCCAAGAGTGCCTGGGCAGGTTAACGATGATAGCTCGGACAACTAAAGGGTCAGCAAATAAGATGAACAGGAAAGGAGCCATAGGTTATTGAGCAGGTCACTGAGCGTCGAGTGCCTCGCGGCGTTACCTTATGTGGGGCCCCAGCAACAGCATGGGGTACTCCAAGCAAGTGGAAAAAACGATATGAAGAACCCGATACTAATATGAAGGACCCCTGAGCAACCGAGTGTACCCCGGCATTTGGGGTCCCGGCAGCAGCGGCGGGGCGGGGGAGCCCGCTTACCCCGCGGGCGCAGCGGTCCCCGCCGAGCCCACGCCGCCCGCCATGCCTCCGGCCGCGCCGCCGCCCGGCGCAACTGCGCCCAGTCCGCCGGTAAGCCCGGGGGCGCGGCCGAGCCCAGGCCGGGCACGGCCGCCAGATGTCTAAGTAATTTATAGTAACCATATTTGACTGTAAGCATCACTTGATCATCAGTGGAATGCCAGGTCGACTGTGCCATCTGTTGACAAAAGAGGGAAATAGCGGCAGGACTCAAACATGTTTGTGTAGTGTTATCTAGCAGCAGGAATCCAAACTAGCCTGGTTGGCACGGACACTGGACGTTTTGAACACTGAGCTTTACGACTCTGGATTTTGCAACCCTGGACGTTGCGTCCCTGGACCTTATAAACGCCCCCAATGGGCACGGAATTGGACGTTTTCTGGACGTTATGAATACCGGATGCTGCGATCCCGGCCGATACGAACACTGGACGCTGCGATCCCGGAATTTTTGATGGCTCCCCGTGAGAAGAATAGGCAGTGGATGGGTAGCAGATTAGGCGCAGCCCCATGAATAGTCGATAGATTAAGTTAAGAAAACTTTGCTCGAGAAGGCCTCTTATCAGGGTCGCATTTCAACTGGCGTTCTTCAGAGTTTTCACAGCCTTCAAATTTGACGTTCGTTAGGAGCACCATGCCTGATCAAAGAGTTTATTTGTGAAGCACTATGTAACTTTAAAGCGTAGCTTTTGAGGAATTTCCCTTCTCTTGCTGGAAACCGCATGGCGGATCAATGGCTAGTCACTAAATTGGCTGACTTGCCGGGTCGGGACGTTGAAATAATAACACTACCGATCAGTTGACGCTACAGGCTTGGCTTGTGACCTCAACGGCAGCAAGACAATGGGGCCGATGGAAGGAAGCCTATCTGCGTGGAGCTTGAACACTCGACAGCAAGCGGAATCTTTCAATCATCCGACCCACAGCCAAAAAAAGGAGTTGCTCATATAACGTCCAGACCAACCGGAGCTCACAAGGGGTGCTGGGAAGGGCATCAGCTGCCTGTCGGGTCAGTAGCTGTCCGATTCCACACCTGGTCGTGACCCCTTCCGTGGCCGTCATTCATTTGAGTTTCGCGCAGCGCGCGGCCTGTTGCCGACTCACCGCCTATCTCGCAGTTGGCGCCAGAGTAGTTAGTGTTGCACTGGCACTGCACAGCGCCATCCTCGTCGACCGAGCAGGACCTCGCATTGCCGTTGCACGGGCAGTCCACGCAGGCGTTTCGGTCCTTGTCCAAGTAATAGCCATCGGAACAAGACTGGACGCGTGGGCGGACAGATCATGTTAGAAACTGCCAACTTTGTTCAAATCCGAAGGACCCGTGTGACGCCGATGCCGTGAACTGGACGCACGCACCAGGCTGTTTTAGGCTCGGATCTCAGTTCAAGGAACGCTGCCTGCTGAAATGTTGCGTTCATCTGGAGAGCCAACCATGCCGCGCGCAGCTGCTCGTCGCTGTTTTCAGCAGGGAATGTTTCTAAATGGCGTGATCTCCAAACCTAGCGCTCATCACCCTTGGCTTCTAGGAATGTGCATCAACAGCGTGCGTACTTCAGCCGTCGCCTGAGGAGGTGGCTGCAGCTCTCTGACCGGACTTACCTGACATGAGATTCCTTTGTATTCAGCTGGGCATCTGCAATTCTCCACTATGTCCACCTTAATCAGGCTCGGAACCTATGGAGGGACAACAGAAGCGTCAGTCCCCGGTCCCGTCTATCAGCCGCTGCTCTGCGCCGTCAACATCTGGTGTTGACTGCCATGGACGGATGTCAGCGCTGCACTTCAACGGCATTGTCAATAACCTGAGCAAACTACTTTAGTTTAGTATAAATCATGCACTGAAAGGAAATTTGCCAACCTTGAAAGTCTTTCCGGATTTGAATATAGGAGTCGACAAGAATCCTGCTTGTCATGCTGCCCATCAGCACCATAGCAACATAATATTATCCCCGATGTGTGAAATAGCATTGCACACGCAAACGCCCACGTGCTTCAAAATCCCAGAGTCACGAGCGGCGAGCGCGACAGTAGCGACGGCTACGTACGAGCGGGACGGCCGAGGCTGTTCCCAGCACCACGTTCCTCAGGCGGGAGTTGAGCACGCCGCCGGCGGACTGAGGCCCGGCTCGGATGGCGATGCCCTCCACGTTGCTGAGCACTGTCATCAGGAAGTCACGCGACGCCGGCGCGCCCGAGCTGTCGGTCCATGAGTGCCCCGACGACAGCCGCACCGCGTACGACTGCCAGCTGG